TCCTTTGTTTGAATGGCATTAATGCATTATGCATGAGGTGTATGAAAAGCAACAGGCTATTGCTTTCAAGGGTTAATCCTCTGTTAACTGTGTCCTTTTTTGGGCTTATTTTGCCCAGGAAAAGTTACCTGGATGGTCTGTAACTCTTTGTTCTTATTGTCTCATATTGTCCTAATCCCAATTGTTCAAATATTTATTACACAATTTATATTAATGAAATTGTTCTTTGTGTCGTGTGCACTAGCAAGTGTGATATTACTGCCATGTGCAATTCCATGCCCAGTCCGGAGAGTGACCAGCATTGTCCACAGCAGCATCGTGCTGCAAGGGAACGTGGGAGGGAAAAATGGTGAAAAAGCAATGTTAATGAAAGAGCAGAGCGTTCAGAATGCCAGAGATATGCTTGAACAGTGCGAGAAACTGAGAAAAGTAGAAATTGAACTTTAAAAAGTTGATGGAGGCTGGAATCCCAATCAAATATTTAGAGGAGGGAATTGTTAAAAAATAGGTTAGAAACTCTTGTAAAATAGTTGATAGATCATTAAGCATGTACTGTTAGTTTGGTTATTAAAGTGTAAAAGGGGTTAAAAGGGTAGTTATAAGAAATACAGAACTCAAGGTGCCATAACACACCTCAGTAAAGTGCACCACCCCCAAGGGAAAGGAGCCAGCCTGGGCAGAACTGTAATGGGCCAATCAAGCACCTTAAACCTTCATGCAAATGAAGGATCCAAAAAGAAACCAATCCATGTGGAATCATCCATCTACAAGCAGTACTTGAAATCACGTCCAATCCAACAGCTCTGACCATCGATCTCTTAAACCAGCAGCAACCACAAACACGATCAGTGATTTGCCAGATGTGATTGGCAGTGCACTACCTCCTCGCAGAGGAAGGAGGGATCTGTGGGAAATTTAATACTTCAGAATGCTGCCTAGTGTTATGTTTGCCCATTTGTTTGAATGGCATTTATGCATCATGCATGGGGTGTATGAATGTGCAACAGGCTATTGCTTTCAAGGGTTAATCCTCTGTTAACGTGTGTCCTTTTTTGGGCTTATTTTGCCCAGAAAAAGTTACCTGGATGGTCTGTAACTCTTTGTTCTTATTGTCTCATATTGTCCTAATCCCAATTGTTCAAATATTTATTATACAATTTATATTAATGAAATTGTTCTTTGTGTCATGTGCACTAACAAGTGTGATATTACTGCCATGTGCAATTCCATGTCCAGTCCGGATAGTGACCAGCATTGTCCACAGCAGCATCGTGCTGCAAGGGAACGTGGAAGGGAAAAATGGTGAAAAAGCAACGTTAATGAAAGAACAGAATGATCAGAATGCCAGAGATATGCTTGAAAAGTACCAAGAAACTGGGAAACGTAGAGGCACAGGAAGTTCAGGATTGCTGGACAAACGGCGTTCAGGATTCCCAGGGCACACACACAGATCAGTTACTGGGGCACACGAAATTCAGGATTCCTGGGGCACAGGAAGTTGAGGATTGCCGGGCCACACAGCATTCAGGATTCCAGGGGCACACGAAGGAAGTTCAGGATTCCGGGGGCACACGAAGTTCAGAATTCCAGGGCACACGGAATTGAGGTTTCCAGGGGCACACGAGGGAAGTTCAGGATTCCTGGGGCACACGAAGTTCAGGATTCCCAGGTCACACGGAATTCAGTATTCCCAGGGTACACGGAGAAAGTTCAGGATTCCAGGGGCACACAAAGTTCAGGATTCCAGGGGCCTAGGAAGGCAGTTCAGGATTCCCGGGGCACCCAGCTCAAAGGGGGAAAAAATCTACAAGTAACAAGAAAAGAACAGGAAAAACCCAACCCCCGACAAGGCGGTGCTGGCTGCGGTTTTTGGGGGTTCCAGCGACACCCGGGGCGGGGTCAGTGCTCAGCAGCAGGGGGGTGAGCCAAACCACAGCCGGGTGTGAAAAACAAAGTTCACTCTTTGGAAATCGTAAAAGATTAATGAGGGATATAAAAGGATTTTGGCAGACGGCCAAACAAGTTTCCTTCACTTAACCCGTTGTTCTCCAGATCGGGTTCCACTGCAGGGCTACAAACACATCCCTGAGTTTAGACATTCTTCAAAATCTTCACACATTCCCGGGAGGTTTGGATGTTCCAGGAACTCTTGTTTGGTTCTCACCTCTGACTTGTCTGCAGGACATTCTGGAGATTGGGTCAATAAATTTGATTTCTTCTCCTGGTTCCATCCTGTTGTTTCACACTCCCTGATCAATTCATAAATTCTTCTCAGGTTTGTGTCACTGCTGTCACCTGGAGAGGCTGATCCGAAATGTGAGAAACAAGGGAATTGTTCTACACCTGAGTCAGTTACACAAAAGCATTTTAACATTGCATAGTCTCTATTTTAACATTTATTATTTATCTCTTTACTACTTGTCTATTTTTTAATATTTTAAGGCCTATGATATAATATCGATTTATTACTCCAGCATTAAATCGATTACACGGTGCACAGATAAACTGATTGATTATATTGTACCAGCGAGCAACTACAAGGAATTATCAAAAATCAACAATCAAGTGCCAGAGCAAAATTCTTGTGGAAGTATTTTTTTTGCAGAAGCCAATGCAGAATTGCAGAAGCCAATTATTAAATTGTCATTTATGACCCGGCTGTGCTGCAGGCACAGGGGAAAGCTGGGAGCTGCTGAGGGGACTCAGTCACTTCTGTCCCCTGTCCCTGAGTGTCCCCAGAGTGTCCCTGAGTGTCCCTGACTGTCCCCAGTGTCCCTGAGTGTCCTCCTTGTGTGTCCTCCCTGAGCATCCATGAGTGTCCTCCCTGATTTTTCCTGAATGTCTACACGTGTCCCTGAGTGTCCCCAGACTGTCCCAGCTTGCCGCTGAGTGTCCCCCTGATTTTCCCTGAGTGTCCCTGAGTGTCCCCAGCCATGTCACCCCAGGAATGTCCCATCAGGATTTGGGACTGTATCAAAGAAAATTCCCAGAAAATTCCCCAGATTTGTCCCAAATCCCCTGTGGGGAGGGGAGAGGGCACAGGTGACATCAGCGATGTCCCCAGTGATGTCACTGCCATGATGACGTTGCAGTGGTGATGTCACTGTCCCTGCAGCAGCCTCGGGATGTCCTCCCTGGCTCTTTGGCACCGCTCGGCCACCACGCGGCTGCCGGGGCCACCGGGGCCACCACGGCCACCATGGGGACTCAAGAGGAGGTCGTTGATGTCCCCAAGTGTCCCCAGCAGGTGACACGTGAACAGGCAGGCACTGGCATCCCAAAGCTGCTCGGCCTTGGCCACTTTGGCCACCAAGTGCTCAGGGTGGGCTCGATGTCCTCGAGCCGGCACTGATGTAACTGATAAACTCGGTGGCACTGTCACACGCGTCCACCAAGCGCTCCAGCAGCCCCAGGGCCACCTCTGCCCAATGTCCCCTCCTGATGGTCACCCTTGCCCGGCTGGTGGCCACCACGGCCTCTGCCACGGCCTCGCTGGTGGCCGCTGCCACCACCTGGGCATTGCGTGTGACCCCACTGAAGCCTCCTCCTCCCTGTCCAGGGCCACCATCAGCTGCTGGGCTGTGGCCACCAGATTGCCACCAGCTGTGTCCCTGTGGGTGGCCTCATCCTGCTGATCCCTGGCCTGGGCGATGGCCACGGTGGTGGCCGTGTCCTCGCAGGTGTCACGGAGCCCAACGTCCTCCTCAACCAGCCGTTCCCAGCTCTTCTCGAGCACGGCCACCAACTCCTGCCAGGCGCTGGCCGCGGCTCTCACATCGGCCCAGGTGGCCCCCGGGGTGGCCCTGAGGGTGGCCAGGGCCTGGCCCAGGGAGGGGACACCGGGGTGGCACAGGGATGTGACATTGCCACGGTTCAGGGTCTCGCTGAGTCTCCAGGTGAATCTCCCCAGGGTGAGGGCAGGAATTTGGGGACACGCGCTGATGCACACCCCAGAGTGGCCCGGTCACCATGGCCACCACCTTGCCCAGGGTGGCCACCGCGGTGACCTGCCGCTCCAGCAGGGACAGGAACGGCTGGGGAGGGGACAGGGGAGATGTCAGGGACCTGGTGGCACTTGTGGCCTCCTGCGGTGGCCCCTGTGCCCTCCCGGGGTCACCTTTGCCCCTCCCTGGAGGGCTCTGCTGTCCCCTCTGTCCCTTTGTCACCCCCTCGTCCCCTCTGCCACCCCCCTGCCGTCCCCTCTGCCACCCTCGGTTCCCTCCAACCCTCTGTCACCTCCCCCATTCCTGCCACGCCTCCTGTCCCTTCTGTCACCTCCTGTCCCCTCTGTCACCCCTGCATGAACCCACACCGGGATTGTCACATCTCTGCAGGCTCCGCACACCAGGAGGCCACAAGTGCCACCGAGTCCCTGACACCTCCCCTGTCCTCTCCCCAGCTGTCCCCAGCCCTGCTGCAGCCACAGGTCACCGTGGTGGCCGCCCTGCGCGAGCTGCTGGCCACCGAGCCCAGGTGGAATATGATTCTACTGCCTGACTCCGCAGATATCCTGAACCGCGACCTGGAGGATTTCAGCAGGGAGCTCCGGGCCACCATAAAGTGCATTGATGACACCTGGTGGCCCGACATTGTCACCTCTGGTGATGGTGATCCTGTCACCTCCCTGAGCCAGGCCCTGGCTGCCTACAAGGGCACCCCATGGACCGCCTGGGACCGTGTGAAAATGGAGGCCATCATGTGGCAGGGCTTGGTGGACGTGCTCATGGAGAGGTGGGTCGAGCTATCTGGGAAGGCCACCAAGCTCCGCAACACCTGGTGGGAGGTGGTCAGTGAGGCGGCTGACATGGCGATCAACATCACCTCCTTGGCAAACTACCGGCAGGACAAGGCTGCCCGTGATGGGACAGCTCAGAAAAAAATGGTGGAGCTGGGTCAGGCCCTGGGCAGGGAGGAGGGGACCGAGGTGGTGGCCGGGCATGAAGTCTGGGTGAGGATAGAGCCCAGGGTGGCTGCCAGCGAGGTAACCAAGCCCACCAAGTTGAGACAGTTGGTGAAGGTGACCCTGGGGCCACTGGAGCACTTGATGGCCGCGTGTGACGAAGCCACTGCCTTCCCCCGGGAGCTGCAGCGCCTGCTCGAGGACATCGAGGCCGCCCTGGAGGGGACAAATGAGGCGTCCCGAGATGTCCCCGAGGACTTGGTGGCCAAGGTGACCATGGCCAAGCGGCTGTGGGAGGCCAACGCCCGCCTGGCCAAGGATCACCTGGTGGGGGCTGTTGATGACATCGTCACGATCTATTTCCATGATGGTCCCGCCAGCCCAAGTGGCATTGGGGTGACTGAGCGGTGCCAGAGAGCCATTGAGGACATCCCGAGGCTCCTTCGTCTCCCGGAGCATCCCCAGAGCGTCCCCAAAGTGTCCCCAGTGAGCGTGGAGCCCCAAGAGGTGTGACGGGCGGGGGGGAGAAGGGGACAGAGGGGACACTGAGGGAGGAGGAGGCACGGGGGTGGGGACAGGGCAATGGGGATTGGGGGGGACACGGGGGTTGGCGGGAGGGTGGCAGGCGGGACAAGAGGCTGACAAAGGGACAGATGGGTGAAAGGGAACCCCTCGGGGGCACGGCACCACTGCAGGAGGCCACAAGTGCCACCAGGTCCCTGACACCGTCCCTGTCCCCTCCTCAGGTGTCCCCTCCGCAGCTGCAGGCGCTGGTGGCCGTGGTGGCCACCCTGGGCAAGGTGGTGGCCACTGTGACCGGGCCACACAGGGGCAAGTTCCTGCGCGAGTCCCCTGACTCCCTGCATGAGGACCTGAAGAACTTCACCCAGAACCTCTGTAAGATCCTGGACCATGGCGATGTCACCTCCCTGGACCACCGTCGTGTCACCTCCCTGGGCCACCGTCGTGTCACCTTCCTGGGATACCGTCGTGTCACCTCCGTGGGCCAACGTGGTGTCACCTCCCTGGGCCACCATAGTGTCCCCTCCTTGGGCCAGGCCCTGGCCACCCTCGGGGTCACCCTGGGGACAACCAGGGCCAGTGTGAGAGCCGTGGCCAGCGCCTGGCGGGAGTCGGTGGCCAAGCTCGTGGACAGCTGTGACCAGCTGGCCAGGGAGGCCACCAAGCTGCGTGACGCCTGCGGGAAGGTGGTCATGGACCAGCAGCTGATGGTGGCCCTGGACAAGAAGGAGGTGGCCCGGGAAATGGCCACACACGATGCCCATGTGGCGGCAGCCACCAACGAGGCCATGGGAGAGGCTGTGGGGGCCACCAGGTGGGCAATGGTGGCCACCAAGAGGGAACATTGGGCAGAGATGGCCCTGGGGCTGCTGCAGTGCTTGGTGGCCGCGTGTGACAGAGCCACCTTGTTCAACTGGAACATGGAGTGGCGGCTCAAGGACATCGAGGCCATCCTGAAGGGGACAAATGAGCTGTCCCCTGATGTCCTCCAAGCCTTGGTGGCCAAGGTGGCCGAGTTTGAGTGGCTGTGGGTGGCCAGCACCCGCCTGGCCAAGGATCACCTGCTGGGGGCACTTGGGGTCATCGACAACATCCTCTCGAGTCCCTGTGGTGACCATGGTGGCCCCATTGGCCCCGGCAGCCGCATGGTGGCCAAGCGGTGCCAAAAAGCCATCAAAGACATCCCAAGGCTGCTGTTGTGGTGGTGTTTGTAGGTCCCAGGATGAGGGAAGAGATGAGAATCTGACTCCATTTTTCAGGCTCATTTATTGTTTTATGATATTATATTAAAAATGCTATACTAAAACTATACTAAAGAAATATAGACAGGATACATCAGAAAAGTAGAAAAGAATGAATAATAAAAACCCGTGACAGAGCAGAGAGTCCGACACAGCTGGTTGTGATTGGCCATTAATTAAAAACAATTCACATGTTTGGATAAACCATTCTCCAAATCACATTCCAAAGCAGCACAGCATGGAGAAGCTGAAGCTTCCCAGGAGAAAAAATCCTGGCAATGGGATTTTCATAAAATATCACAGTGACATGCTGTGGGGACAGTGATGTCACCGGTGTGAAGTCATTAGGGCAGTGATGTCACTGGAGAAAGTTGTGGACACTTCAGTCCCACCAGCTCCTCGTGTCACCAAGTGCCACCAGCACCTCGAGTGCCACCAGCTCCTCGTGTCACCAAGAGCACCTCCAGTGTCACCAGTTCCTCAAGTGCCACCATCTCCTCGTGTCACCAAGAGTCCCTCAAGTGTCACCAAGAGCACCTCCAGTGTCACCAGGTCCTCAAGTGCCACCAGCTCCTCATGTCATCAAGAGTCCTTCAAGTGTCACCACCTCCCTGACTGCCACAGCACCCCGAGTGCCACCAGCTCCTCGTGTCACCAAGAGTCCCTCAAGTGTCACCAGCTCCCTCAAGTGCCACCGGTTCCTTGAATGCCACCAGCTCCTCGTGTCACCAAGACCTCCTCAGTTGTCACCAGTTTCTCGAGTGCCACCAGCTCCTCGTGTCACCAAGAGCCCCTCGAGTACCACCAGCCTCGGACAGAACTGGTGCCACCGGGCAGGTGGTACTGCCGTGTCCCTGGTGCCTGTGTCCCCGCAGAGGGGACACGAGGAGTGGCGGAGGGACACGGGGGTAGTGGTAGGGGACAGGGGGTCACAAAGGGACTGAGGGGACAGCAGAGCCCTCCAGGGAGGGGACAAGGGGGACCCTGCTCGTCAGGGCGGTGGTAGCAGTCCAGATGAAATGGTCTTGTTGAAGTGGTGATCCCCTAGAAAAGATCTGGGAGCTCTTGTCCTCTGAAACCAGTGGGTAAGGGCAGCCTGTCCTGTCCCAAAGCCCAGATTATATCCAGGTGGGGATGCTGAGCTCCTCCCCCTGGGCGGAGCCTCTCACAATGGGCTGATGTCGTTCTGAGCCGTGATTGGTCCTTGACTGCCCATTAAAGAGCAAAGGCTCCTGGAGGGAGTTATCTCTGAGTCATGGGCAAGGCATTGATGGGCGCATTAACAGGAGATCAGGAAAAAACAACGCCCCTCCTGGTTTGAACAGCTCTGGAGGATGGGGATAGAATACATCTTTATATTGTAAAATATGACAAAATCCACCCCTTATTCTATTACCTTCTGTACACCAACCAATACGCTCTTACAGATACATAAATACGTAAATATTTATATATATGTATAAAATATAGAATCAAACTTCACACACTTTAATTCTCACTTTAATTTAGGTCTCCTTGTGGTGCACAAGGGGTTTCCCTGCCCTCCTGCATTACCCACCCGGTGTAACCAGGTCCTGGAGCAAAAACCTTGCTGCCCCACGTTGGGCGCCAAAATTATGTTCTGGTTTGAGATCAGACCCAGTGAGAGACTCCAGGTCAGAAATACAACTAGGAAAAAGAGGAAAAAAACCAATAAAAATGCAATAATACAAAATGAAACCACTGACAGAATACAACCTGACACCCTGCTCGTCAGGGCGGTGGGAGCAGTCCAGATGAAATGGTCTTGTTGAAGTGGTGATCCCCTAGAAAAGATCTGGCAGCTCTTGTCCTCTGAAACCAGTGGGTAAGGGCAGCCTGTCCTGTCCCAAAGCCCAGATTATATCCAGGTGGGGATGCTGAGCTCCTCCCCCTGGGCGGAGCCTCTCACAATGGGCTGATGTCGTTCTGAGCCGTGATTGGTCCTCGATTGCCCTTCAAACAGAAATGGCTCCTGGAGGGAGTTATGTCTGAGCCATGACTTCAATTAATTAAGCCTCACGAAGCTTCCTTTGCAACTGTCTGTGAAAAATTAGTGAGTAGAAGAGCTGGTTTTATTTAATATTTTAATTTTTTATGTTTCAAATCAGGAAAAACAATTAAACAATAAACGGGAGCTGCTGCTCAGTGCATGGAATTGATGGGTTCATTAACAGGAAATCAGGAAAAACAATTAAACAATAAACGGGAGCTGCTGCTCAGTGCATGGAATTGATGGGTTCATTAACAGGAAATCAGGAAAAACAATTAAACAATAAACGGGAGCTGCTGCTCAGTGCATGGAATTGATGGGTTCATTAACAGGAAATCAGGAAAAACAATTAAACAATAAACGGGAGCTGCTGCTCAGTGCATGGAATTGATGGGTTCATTAACAGGAAATCAGGAAAAACAATTAAACAATAAACGGGAGCTGCTGCTCAGTGCATGGAATTGATGGGTTCATTAACAGGAGAGAGGAAAAACAATTTAACAATAAACGGGAGCTGCTGCTCAGTGCATGGAATTGATGGGTTCATTAACAGGAGAGAGGAAAAACAATTTAACAATAAACGGGAGCTGCTGCTCAGTGCATGGAATTGATGGGTTCATTAACAGGAGAGAGGAAAAACAATTTAACAATAAACGGGAGCTGCTGCTCAGTGCATGGAATTGATGGGTTCATTAACAGGAAATCAGGAAAAACAATTAAACAATAAACGGGAGCTGCTGCTCAGTGCATGGAATTGATGGGTTCATTAACAGGAAATCAGGAAAAACAATTAAACAATAAACGGGAGCTGCTGCTCAGTGCATGGAATTGATGGGTTCATTAACAGGAAATCAGGAAAAACAATTAAACAATAAACGGGAGCTGCTGCTCAGTGCATGGAATTGATGGGTTCATTAACAGGAGAGCAGGAAAAACAATTAAACAATAAACGGGAGCTGCTGCTCAGTGCATGGAATTGATGGGTTCATTAACAGGAGAGCAGGAAAAACAATTAAACAATGCCCCTCCTGGTGCCAACAGCTCTTGAAAATAGTACAGAATACATTTTATATTGGAACCTAGGACAGGGCCACTAATTAATAATTATCTGCTGCTAATGGGCCGTTAATTAATAATTATCTGCTGCTAATGGGCCAATATTATTAATTATCTGCTGTTAATGGGCCACTGAGCATTGCTGCATGGCTGATGAGATGACATCATCCCATTGGGAGATGCTCCGCCCAGGGGGAGGAGCCAAGAATTCCTGCCTGGATGGAATCTGAGGTTTGGAACAGCAGAGCACTGCATTCCCAGAGGAGCAGCTTTCTTCTTATTCTGGTTTTTTACTTTATTTTATTTTTATTATTGAGTTTATTATTGTTAATTTTATTTTTTTACTTCATTTTTATTATTTGTATTCCTATCTTTATGTTAATTTTAGTTTTATATTGATTTTATTTCTTATTTTTTATTATTTTTCATTTTATTTTTATTCTTCATTTTTATCTTATTAAGATTTTTATTTCTACCTTTATTTAATATTTTAATTTTTTATGTTTCATTTTATTTGTATCTAATTTTTATTTTTATTTCTATCTTTATTTAATATTTTAATTTTTTATGTTTCATTTTATTTGTATCTAATTTTTATTTTTATTTCTATCTTTATTTAATATTTTAATTTTTTATGTTTCATTTTATTTGTATCTAATTTTTACTTTTATTTGTATCTAATTTTAATTTTTATTTTTATTGTATATTACTTTGTTTCACTTTTTTAATCTTGTTTTTATTTCTACACCGGGACCACAATGCCCACAATGCACTGCGTTTCCGCCAGTGCTTCTGCCATCTCCGGCTTCTGATTGGCTCACGCAGCGTTTGGCCGCCAGAGGTCTCGCGAGAGAAGCGGCGCCGCCATCTTTGTTGAGGGCAATTTTGTGGGTTCCTCCGAGCTCCTCGCGTTTCCTCCTAAATCCAGCCGGGAACGGCGGAGTTAATCCGGTTGGAAATGGCGGGATGGAGCCTAAACCCCCTGGGGCTGAGCCTAAATCCCCTGGGATGGAGCCTAAACCCCCTGGGATTCAGCCAAAGCGCCCAAATCCTGGAGCTTCCCGGGAATTGGGACGGTACCGGAAGAGGCGGTGATGTCACCTAGCCTGGCCCCGCCCCTTTCTGTCTCCTCCCGAGCCCACGGGGAGCGGGCAGTGGGGAATGGGGGGGACACGGGGGGTG